GTGGCTAAGGTAAAAATTACTAATATCTATCCCGTAGGGTAACACATTAAGCGATATAAATTATGAATAATGTTTACTTCAGTGAAGCATGTGGGAGTCCTTGGAAGCATGAACAGCTTATACATTGCGAGATTATGCAGTCTTTGCAAAGCCATTTTTAAATTAATACACATAATCCTTAATGCTTGACTTCAATTGCCCTTCTCCATAGTATACTATTTGCATATTAATTTGTTTTTAAGATTTATAGACTTTTTTATCTAAATTTGAATTAGTTGAATAAATTGTTGATATTGGATATATAGATGACTTTAAATTGCCATGCTAAATTTTATAGCATTTTATAATTATCAGAGTAATTTGATGTAATAGCCTCACATTAATTGGATGTGGAAGCTTAATCAAACTGGGAAGTGATTTTTCTTCAGGATAGACTTCTCATGCTTTTTGTTGTGTGCCATGTGTTAAGAACCAAAATCCTCCTGTGATGCCTCTGCAGTCTTCGATTCCATCTTTATTACCTGAATACGATTCCACTGAATGGGGAGACTTCCTCTTTGGCATGATTGTGTTTATTGTTGCAATGACCAGAAGCCTAGAGTCCCGATCCTGGATTATTGGATTGAGAAACCACATTTTGAAAATATAACCCTATAATGTAAGAATAGTGAACTTTCTAATGGTTCTATAAAAATCTTGCAAACCGTCTTTGGACCATTCAAAATATTCTCACCTTTCAGCAAATGTTTCTGAATCACCTTACCACTTGGGTGCTGGGATATTAGGCATTACATGTGAACAAATTCACAGTGCAGGGAGAATAGGCAAGATCCCTGCTTCCTGGGGCTGCAAGTGTAGAGTGCATCTGTTCCACTTACTGAAACAGACTCAAAGTCAAACTGTGACTCTTGAGAGGTTAAGGATCCCAATGAGATGATTTCATGATGGGATTCCTGTTGCTCCTCAAACCTCCTGCCACCAGGACCATCCTGTTGCCAGAGTTCCTTTGATGTTCTAAAGCTTTACCTGGATGCCTACTTCAGGTGCTATTTTCATCTAAGAGAAAAATACACTTGACATCCAAATGTGTGGATTTGAGATATTTCAAGAGATAATGAAACGAATCACCTTCAGATGATCTTTTTAGGCAGTAAGGGTTCCAAAATGCAAAGCAGAAATTATTGTTTGAAGTATTTTCTTTCAATTCAAGAGACTGAAATAAATCTAAATTGAGGGTACTAAAAGTGGTTGCCAAGCTTGAGTTACTTAATGAAGAGTTTTTAAGTTACTGAAGTAATTTCTTTTAAATTACCTTGGATCAGAGGTAGCACCTATGAAACATGCGTGACCAACACTAATATTCCCTCCAGTTTTTATTAATGAAAGTTTGTTTATTTCAAATTTATCATAGTAATGATGTATGTGGGTCTGTTATCCTAATCAATATTTCAAAGTAAGATTGTACTTTATAAGTACCAATTTTGTCTGCCTATCTGTACATGTGTTAATGAAAAAACAGCCCTTGTCCCATCTGGAAAGGAATGTCATGATGTTATCACACATAAAAAAGTGTCATGTAGTGAAACTAATTGCCTCAGTCAGAAATCTAAATGCCTTTGTCACTTTAGAGAAGAGTGTTAGCAGGTTCTGGCAATCATAATTGTGATAACAGCCTCACACAGAATGGTTAATATTGCTCTTTAATTGCCTAATGTAACAATCCACACTCCAGTGATAGGTCCTCTCATTTTTCATGTTCCATTGTGGTTTACTTGCCTCACAAAACTTTCAACCTGCTTTGAACACTTTTCTGTCAGGCATCAGCTACTGGCTAATTGCTTCCCACCATGCTGTTCTGATTACCACTTTTGAAAGTCGGCTCCTCCTGCTGTTTCTTTTTCTTCACGCTGGTGGTGCCTTAGCTGCCTGGAGGGCATTGCATTGAGCTGTTGACTCGGAGCACTCAGCATTCTCCATCTTTACATGTGTATGATTTCCAAACTTCACTATTTCTGTGATTTAACTATTTCCCTTGGCATGATTCTTGATTATACTAGGTTCGGGTTTTTATTTATAGAAACAGTTTGGTGATTTGCTTGGGGAAAAGGTCCTTTTTGGGACTACCATTTTTAAAAACTCAAGTTGTAATTTGTGAGCCTTAGTCATAATGTATAAGAAATGAACTTTCACAGTTGACTATGAGTAATATTCACTACCTATAAATTAGAATAGACTAGAAAAATATCCACTAATGAAGGAAAATACTTGTAGTTCTCAACGAACAACTCAGAAGCAACTTGAAGTAATTCTGAGATATTTCTTTTGGCAATTTTTCTGTGAAGAAGGCTTTATCACCCAGTGCCCTGAGTCACAGTGAGTTTCTGAGATGGACTTCACTCTTGAGCTCGTAGAGTCTGTTCTCCATGCTCTGCACTCCTGAGGGGTGGAAGGCACTGCCCTACCCACTGACTCTCCTCTGATCACTTCCCTCACTTGGTCAGATGGCTCTGTTACCATGACTACAAGACTAGCTGCTAGACTGATTTCTTGCAGGTACTTTAGGTATCTGCTGGTGAGTAGTTTGTTACATCATATTGAGTATACGCAGCCCTAGAATCTTGGGTATGATTTATAAGCTTGCATTGTGTAATCCATATTTTAGGGAGTATTACTAAATGTGTTGTGTGTATTGTCTTTCTGAAAATCCTCCCTCCCAACCTACTTGCATTCCTCTTTTTCATATTCCCTACCCTACACACACACACACACACACACACACACACACACACACACACACACACACCCCATATGCACCTTAAATTCATATTGCATGTTAAGGTAATCTGAGTTTCCTGATGTTATATACTTTCCAATGTTCATGTGAAAATCAACTTTTTCGTTTTACCATCCTGTACTAATTGTTCTGTCACTAACATAAAATCCATAACACAATCTATATATTTGTATATAATAACATATAAACGTATGCACGCATGCTAAAATTATTTCTTTAGTGTAATGGCAGAAATGCCACATTTGAATGATAGACAGGAAAAGTGTCATTTGTAGAACAACCATAGGAATCAAAGAATCTCAGCAACAATGCTAAAATATATTTTGAAGAAATCTTTCTGATTTTAGAGAATCCCACATTTTAGTTTTCACAAAAAACATATAAGAAGTGAAATGTATAGAAGACTCATGTTCACATTTCTAAATTTGCAGCAGTTTTAAACTTCAGAAAGATCAGAAGCTTAGAGCATCCAGAGAGAGCGCATCCAGAGAGAGATTTTAGAGCGTTCAGAGAGAGAGCTAGAGTGCAGGAGAGAGTGAGCACATGTTTTAATTTTATCCATTACGTGGCTCTGGGGAGATCCATATTTCCATGTAGGTGGAGAGCCCTGCCTTTGTAGGTTCTCCATGTTTAGAGCTAATATCAGGGCTGTCTGTCGCCCTCAAGAACCTTTGCTGACCTGGTTTCTGTACCAGTATCAGGTATTAGGCTGTTGCCTGCTGGTCCGAGGTCTGCATCTGGAAGCAGATTCACTCTGTGGCAGCCGGGGAGTGACTGGGAAGTTTAGAGCATCCACTCGCTTGAAGAGTGCTCTGGGATCACTGTTGATCTGAGCAAGTCTGAATACAGCTGTGAGTTTAAACTTCCAGAGTGAAAGGCAGAATGAACTGATGGAAAATGCGTGTATTTTGGAATCAGATTGGGGTTTAAATTCTGGCTTTTTCACCGGTAGACTGTATGATTATTAGCTTCTTTCTGTGAGCCTCCGTTTCTTCATTTGTAAAATGCAGGGCTGTTATAAGTAATAAATGGAATAATATATCCCAAAGTGCCTGGTACTCGGTAAGGAATTAATGTTATTCGCTTTCTACCCTCCCCAACACTGAAGAGCACAGGAGCGGAGTGAGTAACCTCCACAGCAGCTTGGTTTGATGATATAAAACCACATTTTCGGACAAAGATTTTGAAAATCATTTGTTCCATCACCAGTCAGTTAGAGAACATGTACCTGAAGAAATTCCAAGCTTGGAGAGGGGCTAAAAGAGAGACATCCTCTCAGGGAGTTGTGTTAGCTCCATGCTTTCCTGTATAATACCATTGGCATAAAGCTGACGCAATGAAATTATACATTATTAATTTATTTTTAAAGATTCCCTAACTCAGTGTGAACTTTTTCTTTCATCTCATCTGACAGTAAACCCAACTGGAGATTTTAAGGTGATAGGTAATCAATACTTTTATTCACAGGTGATTTTTCTCTTAGTGAGAAGCAGTTGCAAATTCTGCTACTTTGAGATTTTTACCAGCTTAAACAACAAGAAAGTGACATTCAAAATGAATTAGATTGGCCAGAGGTTACATAATGTATTAACTGTGCGAGGAGTTATGATGCACGTTAATTGAGCCAAAGACCTCTCATATTTTAAAAAAATACCCTTTGGTTGGGTTATGCAGAGTAAGAGGTAGATGTTTATTTTTTAAAAATCAACTAAGTATTATTGAAACAATGAGAAATTCAAAGACTCAGTGAGTTCTAAAACTACAGTATCTGCCTCTTTTTTTCTTAACTCTGTGCTGTCTTTGAATTTGTAGCTCATAGAAATGGTCTGTGCTAGCAGACCTGCCCTTTCACTAACCCATTCATTATGATCATGTGAGGTATACTTGACCTTTTGCCTTCTCTTTCTCCAATTTAATTCTAGAGCATACTAAAACCCTTGAGTCATTTGGGAGCTATATGTAACAGACCATAACATTAAGATTTGACATAAATACCATAGAGTAAAAATATTAAGATGCTAAGATATAATAGGATTTTTTCTAAACCACAAAGTGAAATTTGTCAGTGGTTAGGTAATTGTTACCTTCGGAAATTTTTTGAAAGGATTTTCAGAACTATTGTAGTTTAAGTTTTAGTAGCGAAAATGTTTACTTAGGAAAACAATTTTGTAACTGTTTCCCTTTTTTTCTTTTCTTTCAATTTCAGGGTCAGACTGGTCCTCAGGTAAGTGAACTCTTTTCTAACAAATGAATTCCAATTTAGGGTTTTCCCAGTGTGCAGGTTTCACTGTAACTCTTTTCAAATGATATTTTAAAAAAGCTATGCATCAGTAATCATGCCACCACACAGTAGACCAAATATTTCCCAGGAGTAAAAGCCTTGGGGCCTCTTCAGGGTTGGATGAGCCACGTCAGCTGTTGGACCAGATGGCAAGTTTAACAATGTACTATCATATAAAGCAAAACTCTTAACTCATATGAAACAGAGCCATGGGACTTTAATGTTAAGACAAAATGACTTAGTAGATGTCGGGTATGAACTGGTTCACATTAGATACTGATTAATCATGTACTAATAATGTCATTGGAAATCCACACAGACTCTTGATTGTGTAGACTGTGATCCTACCAGGTACTCTTGATTCATTATAGATAGATATTGAATTCGTTCTCCGTTTTTAATATAAACCAACTGCTGAAGACATGATTTATAATTAAATGTGAATACAGTCAACAAAAAAATCTTTCGAAGCTTAAATCATATTGAAGAAAAAAGGGAAATTTTAGGAAGGGGAGGAATGTGTATAAAGATGAAAGTAAAAATGAAGGGAGTTGTCAGAAATGAAGAGTCAGTAAAGAAACAACAAATTAAGTATTAACACTTATTGTAATCCATAGAAAGCTATAGAGATGGAAATGCCATTATTAATGTTTTACCTTTAATGCCATAATACCTGTAAATAATGTAATTATTTCTTGAGTTCCCCTTATGTCTCTTTTCCCTTGATATACTGAACACTATTTCTGTCCTAGATTGTTTCATAAATAATTTTTCATGACGTTTTTGTTCGTCAATATCATAAATTGTGTGTTATTTTAATTATCATACTAGATCATGAGAATATTATTTATAGTTTTTATGAGCTCTGTATATTAAGGATGTCTAACAAAACAAACAAAAAACTCCATGTGCTTCAGTAGAGGAGTCTTTTCCATACTATACTCATAAGAAAAAGGTTGACATGTAATTAATTTATATTCATATCAGAGAATACTCTCATTATTTGTGATTTTCTTATATTCTTGGCTCAAGGCAGTTATTTGAAAGAAAATGCCTACAGGAGAAAGTTGTAGCTTATTCACTAAATTTGAAACTGCCACATTATAATGGGATGAAGACAAAGTAAAAGGTGCTTTGCGTGCTTTTTTAAATTTTATATTACAATAGCCCTGCAAAGTATATATATAGTCAGAACAGATAAATAACTCACCTGGGGTGACACCATAAAACTGGGAGCAGAAGTCGTTTGTCTCTAAAACCCTCATACCCCTGTAGCTCTCAAGAGAAGAGAAGAGAAGGTGAGATAACAGATGATAAAAGCCATTGGAGTGTTGGTTTTGAGAGAAGATGATAATCTTCAACATATTTTAAGTTTTAATAGGACCTCTGTCTTAGCCTGCGTCACCTCCCCCTACCCCAAAGCAGTTCTTAAGATAAGGATTTGGGCATAAGTAGTTTATTTGGGAGACGATCCCAGGAAGCACTGTGAGGGAATAGGAAAATGACACAGGATGGGCAAGAAAACCAAAAAATGGATGTATTAATGAACAGGGTACTGCTGTGGATAACTGGGGGTCCATCCTGCCGAAGAACCTGTAAGAGAGTGTGTAGAGCTTGCCTCAGAATCGTCCCACTGAGGGGCAGGGAAATTGTTGTATTTATCCACTAATTTCCCATCCTTCATTGTTGAGAGTCGTGCCTGGGTGTTAACTCGCTGGCACTTCTGATTTGTACCCAGAAAGTCTAGCTCGCTGCAGCTGCTAGAGGAATGCAGGAAGCTGCAGGGACATATGGGGCCTGTATTCTAACACTATCTTGGAAGGAGGCGGTAGTGTGTGTTGACACCTACATCTGCTACAACATCCAAAGGCAAATGTCCTACAGACAAAACAGAGTGGAACATTAAGATATGGATAGAAAGATTTGGAAATTGGACAAAAAGACAGCATTAAAAGCATAGTAGTTAATGAGATGTTATAGAGAATAACTGTAAAAAGAAGAACATGGTCATAATAAATCTTGAGTGTACAGCCACAGTCAATGAGTAGAAGAAAAGTGATAAACCAGGACAGGAAGCCAAGAATGGACAGAACAAGGAACATTCTGGATCATTCTAGCCAAGATTTGAAAGTATATCATGACGCTTCAGAATACCTTCATATCACGTCTTGTATTTACTATAGCTCTTCAGAAAAATAAAGTCTATCTAACTGCCTATACTTAAATTTTTTGGAAACTTTCAAGGAGGATAGGAGTGGCATTTTCAAATCGTGACCAAGTCTGGTTTTCCTTCATTTTGGCTACCAGTTTGACTTTGATGGACACTCTAATCACATGATCATTTCATTCAAAATGTCTTCCTCACATCACAGCCCAAGGAAAGCATTGGATTCAGGAAGGATAAAGATAAGGGGAAATGCAAAGCCATGAAATACCCTTACATTGTCTTTCCAAGGCAAGAAAAATAGGCAGTTTTGTTGCTATGTCCCCAAGAAAAAGTCTGTCCTACCTCTTATGTCTGTATCATTATAATATTTTTTAGAAAAAGCTTTCATTTTTAGATTGTAAATGAAATAATTGTTAATGTTCTTCATTTAGTACTTGATTAATAACTTTGCTCTGAGATTTTTATAAATCGCACATGAATTTTTGTATATAGACTTCTTTTCATCTATAATTTTAATTTTCTTTGTTCCTATTGTAATGCATTACTTTCCCAGCTCCTAATCTGCTCTTGAAATTTTTTACAATGAAAAGTGGGCTTTAAATAGGCTTTTAACTCGAAGAACAAATTTTATCTATCTAAAAATATGAACACTTAGAAATGAACTATGTAGTAGATGTGATTATCAATAGGTGCAGCAGTTATAGTATTTTATACAATTATATTTTACATTAACACCTTACCATGAATCCACTTTGTCCTTGAGTAAATTTACATAAGCTATCCATTAAATACATACATAAAGACCCATAAGGTACATACAGAGAAAAAGCAAACAATGTACATTTAAAACCTAAATTAGGAAATTATAATACCTTCTTAAATGATTGAAAGCTTTCTTTTATTTGATCAAATTTCTCCTAAAATATCCATAATTTATTTGGGTCACTAAAATTGATTTCATTCACATACAATGTATATAATAACAAGAACTTATAATTTGAGGTATGCCTTCCTTGTTTTGTTTTTTCTTTATCTTTTTGGTGACTTATTATCCACATTTTTCTTAAAATGTCCACTTTTTCCGTTTCCCTGACTTTATAAGATTTCGGAGTTAAAACTCTTGAGAACTTATTTTTTGTTATTTATCTATATATATAAGATTCAACATAATGACTTTATCTACATCCCTTTCCTCCTGATCCTGCTCCTCCTGTGTCCCTGCGTCTGTCTTTTTAGCATATATTGTTAACTGTGGGGAAAGCAAAGGGCACAGAAACTGCAAAACTTTCTCTTTACCTTCTCTCCCCACCCACTTTTGCAACTAGTTAAGGGAGGAAAAGGAAGTAGTCAGTTTGCCACCTAAACAAGCTTTCTCCAAACAAGATAGATACCTTAGTCCTCAAACCCAAGTTTTCCACCCCTCCCCTGAGTCATAACCATGTCACCCAGGGACAACCCTTAGCTAGACTACTTACTCTGTTGAAAATCCACACTCCCTGTGACTGGGTAATGTTGTGAGTGAGAGATACATTTCTAAAATTCCAATGCCAACTTTCAATGGATTTTCCATTGACAGAGTATTATCAATACTGTTTGTGTCGTACAATAAGAATTTTTTTTAGGTACGTTAGGAATAGGCTTATGTGGATTGGGCTGGGAAAATAAACTGTATTTATATTATGATTTCTGTGGGAACATACAATCGGATTTCCAGACAACTAACTTCTAAAAAAAGTTGTAAATGTTTGCGTTGGGAGGCTGCACATCCTTTCAAGTTTATTAAAAGATTTGGACAGAATTATAATTAGCAACTCATTATTCACGTGCACATGTTTATGTCAGCGAGAGTTTTCTTGCATAGCGTGAACATCCCCGCATCATCTTATTCACAGTATTATTTATTATACAGTACAAACTCTTCCTTAGAGGGGAAAACGCAATTTTGCTTCTTCTCTATCACACTCCTTGAGTAAGGACTTCCAGAATAATAAGGTTTTGTTTTACAGATCAATGATAAAAAGGGAAAGTGTGTATTATTCAGGGAGTTCTACTGATCATCTTCCTAAAGTTAAAGACGGCTTAGATGGGTTTAGCTTAGACTTTTAAACAATTGCGAAGACTGGAAAGCTAAATGACAGTGAACCCTGTGACAGTGATCGTGTGAAACTGAATACGAAAATAGGCCTCAAGGAAGAGAGATGAGTCCTTGCATTTACTTAAATGGGTGAGAAAATGGTTCTTGACAAGGGAAATGAGATGGTGAAAGGGTATTAGAAAGAAAAAAAAGGCAAATGGAGCAGCTGTGGTTAAGATGGGGAAAGAGGCAGGGAAATGAATGGAGAGGATGTAGCTATGAATCTGCTGAAACAAAGGAAATCAAATTCTTAGAGAGGAAAGGGAAGGGAGAGAGTAAATAGTGTTACAGAGACTTGAAAAAATGGTTGAGTGAAAAGAAAAAATAATAAGTGATAGCAGAGAGTAAGTAAGGGAAGAAAGAAGGAAAGAAAAATAGAAAAAGGACAGATGAGCATTTGTATTTCAAACTAGAGGTAATAAGAATCTTTTGGGGGAGGGGCAAACATCTATCGAAATAAAAGTCACCCTGGTATTTGTTCATTAATTCATGTTAATATAATTCAATTTAATGACTCCAGTATTTAGCCCCTACTACACATGGCACAATGATGAGGCTGTGAAATTGTGGTGAACAAGACAGACTCAACCTCTGTTCTTTTGATAGTTCTTTTAGTATTAATAGTCAAGTAGAGTGTGGAAG